TATAATTTATATATTATATATTATATATTATATATTATATATTATATATTATATCTTATATATTATATATTATATATTATATATTATATATTATATATTATATAGTATATATTATATAATATATATATATAATATATATTATATGTTATATATTATATATTATATATTACATATTGTATATTGTGTTTATATACACACACACACACACACATATATATATATATATATATATATATCATAACGGAACCCAAACGGCGGTGCATGCTGCACTCGCAACAGCATGATGCCCTACCGTCACTGCCAGGTCGCATCATTGGAGTACCCGTCGGAGTCTGGAAATCTAACAGTCCTGCTCGCTGTGGAGGCGGCTGAAAGTCAGCATTGAACACTTTGATCCGCGACAGTCGTTCCATTGGCTGATCAAGTTCATGTGCACTGGGTGAGATCTTCGGTTCAGCGCCTGCGCTGCGAAAAGCTCGTGAAACCCTTGCTTCAGGGGTTGATGTGTTGCAGGTTCATTTACGTATCAACAATCCAAGTTAGCTCACGATGACGATGTGGCTGCAGAGTAGTCAGGACATCTGGGCCGAAAAACTGACAGAGATGACGGCCATGGGTTGGCAATGCTCTGAAGTTTCAGTTTGGCTCTGCACAGGTCTCCTCACGCGCCGTTGCAGCTGCCATCTCAGGTTTTGCAGGGGCAGCTCGTGCACGAGTTCGCACAGTGGGTGAATCAAGCAGTCCAGCAGCAGTCTGTCGTCCGCCAGCCCACGGTATGTCTACATTCATCCTACAATATCCTACAACTCGCCGCCTGTCACCTGCCTCAGCCTTCCCAATTGAAAATTGCATCATGAAAAACGTTTATGCTGCTTGCAGCATGTGTACTCTCGTTCCCAGTTCTGGAAATTTGTCGCATCTCAGCTGAAGTTGTGCTCCGCGACGGTAAGGATCTTCAAGCGTCTGGTGCTGGGGCGTTGCTTGAATTGCGGTACCGCGGCAACTCGGCTGCCGATGCTGCTGCATTTTGGTAGGCTTTGATTTCTGCATCCGCGGCATTGTTGCAGAAGCACGACGCGATGATGTCGACGTAGATGAGTAGGGGCTGTGAGAAGTGCTGGGTAAGCGTGAGCAGTTGGTGAGAGAAGCAAGCAATGCCCTTGCTGGGTGCGCACTGCCCATCCCGAAGGAAACTCCGGGGCCACTACTTCCAGGCACCGTGACGGGCCGTGACGTTTGCTTCACTTTATTTCATTTTGTCCGTCAATTCCAGTGGCTGGCAGAGCACACATGCAAGTCTTTATATGGGGGTTTCCGAAAATAGGGGACCCTAATATAGTACCCTAAATAGTAGGATCCTTATTATAAGGACCCCAGAATAAGGTACCCCCCTATTCTCGGAAACCCCCATATGAGCTTCGAAGCTCTGCCAGTTCCATGGGGGCCGAAGCTGGCCGCAGCCGCAGATCGTAGCAACGAGGACATGAGGACAGTCGCAGTCTCTGCCACAAGGCTCCAACCAAACTCCGTCGGACATGGTCTGGGCCTCGCGCAGTCGTGTGCGTAAAGTTGTAAAGTGTCAACAGCTGAAGGGTGCTTTTGCCAGACGCAGAGGCAGAAGAAGTACAGTTTCGTTGTGATCTGGGTGATCCACCAGAGGCTCGGGCAGCTTCTGGAATGCCCGTGTAATTCATCAGCGAACTCCTGAGAGAGGATGGTGGCTGGAGACAGGAAGGCGTGTTTTGGTATCGGGTGGGTGGCTGGAGTCCAGTCGAGCTCCCGCAGACGTCCCAGCATCCTAGAGGCCATGTTCCGAATGTCCCCTTCTGTTTCCAGCGCTGAGACCTGCGGCAGCTGTTACCATGCAGCCTTGCAGCGCGCCGGGATCATCAAGAGTCGTGCATCCTGGCAGGAACTTCACTGTCAACATGTGCCGCGTTGAACCCTGGCAGTCATGGACTTCGTATCCAAGGTTTGAGATTGCGGACCTGACACCTGGCGTCCTCTCGATGACCATCGAGGCCGGCTGACCGTGGCATTTCTCGATGTGGACGACGGGCTTAGAGCTCGCGTGGTCGGCGTAAGGACCTTCATAATTACCTACACTATTTTGGGGATTCTTTATTGTAATTCGCGTATAGTATACCCCCAAGCCCTATTCTAATTATGAAGACGACTCAGTTGCTAAGATTTAGGGTTCAAGGTTTTGGATTTAGTATCCCAGGAATTTAAGAAGTAGGGTTTAGGATCTTTGCTTTAGGGCTTAGGATCTAGGAGTGCAGGTTTAGGGTTCAGGATCTAAGATTCAGGGATTTATAGGATTGGGAAGTCGGTGTTTGAGGTTTAGCATCTACGATTTAGGATTCTTTCAAAACTGTTCCCCCGGACGCAGTCCAGGATTGTTGTGGCGCCTTAAAAAATCAAAATCCTCCGATCAAGTGGCGCCAGACACGCCACTAAGACCATCGAAGAAAGTGACCCCAAAACCTAAACCCGGTTTCGCAGGAGCCCTTATAAGCGGCCAGGAGCTTCTAGCGCCTCAGACAAGCTATGCTCCCATGGCCCTCCCAGCACTTGGGATCGATTTCAAGGTTTAGGTTTAGGATCTAGGATTGTTGAAGACTTTCGGGTGGCCCAAAGGTCACAAACGTCGCCCGAACTGTTCGCACAAAACATATTGGGCCGAAATCCAATGTCGAGGTACCCCCCCAGCCTCAACATTGACTTTAGAGCTCTAGGATTTTAGGTCAAGGCTTTAGGATTTCGGACTTGAAGGTTTGGGAGAGTTAGGCGCAAGCCTCTAAATTTAAGGCTTAGGGTTGTAGGACTTGGGTTTAGGGCTTTAGGGGTTAAGGTTTAGGATTTAGGGTTCCCAAGCTTTCCGGCTTTCCCAGACGTCACCCGAACTGGCTTGGGACGAAAGGCCGATGCCGAGGTACCCCGCAGACCAACGAGGATTTTAGGGTTTAGGGTTTCGGGTTTAGGGTTCAGGGTTTAGTAGAGTTCAGGGTTCAGGGTTTAGGGTGTAGGGTTTAGAGTTCAGGGCTTAGGGTTTAGGGTTCAGAGTTTAGGGTTTAGGGTTTAGGGTTTCGGATTAGCCAAAGCCTCGAACATCATGGATTTTATAACGCACGCTCCGTTTCGAAAAAGCGGCGCCGCAGAGCACAGCGGCAGCAAGCCAGGTTCTTGCGAATTCTGCCAACCCCACACCAGTGCGGTCCATATAAAAACATATGCAGGATGCGGAAGTACAGGACGTGTTGATTTGATCGCTCCTGTTTAGCGGTGCTGCAGAGCGCAGCGCCCTGCAAATTTAACGAACTTCAGCAACCAGCACCCGCAGACCAACAACAAGGGAATCTTCACACAACAAGCCTACACGCTAATCGCTCAGGGTTTGGGGTTGGTTTTCGCTGCCGCGGAGCGGCGCGACGCCCACGACCGCATGGGTTGAGACCCTTCACCCCCGAAGTCTTAGGCCCCCGGGCCGCAACCCCAAAAAAGCAATTCACCAAACAAAGCACACAGCGGGCTGCATCCATGTGCAGGGGGCGTGCATCGTCGTGCGTGCATCCAGGATGTCCACCTAGGTGAGTACAATTCCTAGTCAGACGCCATGGCAAAGAACAGAGCCGTGGCAAATGGCGGTGGCGGTGATGATGGTGCCGGTTGGTCCCCCACGCCAGTTTCTTTGCATCGTCGCCCTGGTTGTGACCGCAGGGGCATCTCGCCTAGCAGTCGGACGTCGAAGTTGTGCCTGTCTCCTTCCTCCGTCTTTGCAGTTTTGTAGATGAAGACTGCCTTGAGGATGGGGACCCGTCGAATTCATGCACATGGTTCGATTAAGAGAAGGGGTTGAGGCTGCAGATTTCGGCTGGCAGATCTTTTGCTTGTGTGTAAGGTTTCGTACTCCAGGTCGGTCTGATGCATGAAGACTTGAGGGTTGGTTCTACTGACTTGCGATCTCAAGACTTGAAAGGCATACATGCAAACAACGGTGCGACACACGGGTACACAGCCTAAGGGTCTAGAAAGTCTTTGCAAATCTGTGCAACACCAGTCTTGCCCGCACCTGCTTTGGCAGGCTCAGTGATGAGACATGGGTGTCACAACCTGCATACTCCAATGATCAAGCGGGCACTTCTGTTGGAAGCAGGCCGTCCTGTCCCTTTCCGATAGCGCCAGCTTGGACAGCAATGCAGCAGTGAGCTTAGAGCCGACATAGCCGACGGAAAGCAACCAGGGGCTGTGACAGTGGAAATTCCTTTGAGAAAGGTCGCCCGCTGGGACGTGACCTTGTCGGCTTCTGGGGGAAGCATCGTTGACATGTGCGCCCCAACCTTTCGATGCCGCCCCTTCTCCACAGAATCCAGTCAGGTACCCTGGCCTCGAGGCAGAGGGCTGGTGGGGCAGAGCCTGGGCCCTCCGGCCCTTGCTCCTCTCCTGGGAGGGTGCGCCGGGCGAACGCGGCGAAAGCGGGAGAGAGCGGAGTTGGCAAGCTTTGCAGGTACGAGTTCTCCAGGTGCCCAGGCTCCCTTCGGATGGAGCTCATGTTCCCGGCTTTTTTCTGGCTTGCTTCAGTCAGGTCCCTGTACACGTCTTGTTTCGAAAGCAAGATGGAGATGCTCCGCAGAGCCTTGCCTGCAGATGCAGAACATTTCTTTTCGAATAGCGCGGGGCATCGGTCGCTCGCAATGCATCGTCTGAGCCTTCGAGATGTATTGTAGATACTGATCTGTTCCGAAGACTTCAGCTTGTGATTCAGTGTGGTGCCTTCAAGTCAATGTCCATTGTTCGCAACACCTGGAGAGAGCAAGAGAAGTGGGCGTAGCTGCAAGATGCACGCCTAGGTTGGCAAGAGTACTCTTTTATGCCACACCAGGTCGCATCTTACAAGCAGTTCGCTGAAAGCGCTTCGCCAAAACACCTGCAGGAAGCTACTAGCTAATCTTTAAAAGCTGATCTGTTCGCAAAGCCATGTACCGCGGTATCGGGTTGCCAAGGATGATCTGTCTTGGTTCTCCGTCCAAGTTTGGAGGAGGAAGGGCACCCGGCTGTCGTTGCATGGTTGTGTGGTGTGCCAGGAGTATACATCTTCGCGGTAGCAGCTGGCGTGCTTTTTTATGCACAAGGTTTTGCATGACAGGCGCCAGTTGTCACCTCACAGGAGCAGACTCGGATGCGGGCTTCACCATGTCGACGCTAAGTGGAGGCACGATGCAGCCTGGCCGCAGATCCAGAAACCTATCAGGACCGTAGAGGCCCAGGGAAGTTGAACGGTTTAGGGTTTAAGGTTTAGGGTTTAGGGTTTAGGGTTTAGGGTTTGGGCAATGAGCTCTCAGGACTGAAAGTTTGGGGCTCTTGCCCGATGGTTGGGCATGGATTACGGAAGCGGAGGCCCACAAGCTTTGACAGACTGCAGTTGTTAACCGTGAAGCAGTCGTATGGGGCGCGGTGTGCCAAATGCACACAGGTGACGATGGCCAGCATTTGCCCCTCGCTAAGTTGCTGTTGCCGCTGCTGGTTTGCTGCTGTCACCATGCTTTTCAGGCCTGGTGACAGACGCAGCAAACATCACAAACTCACCTGCTGGAACTCGCTTTTCGTTTACTGCTGCCCACCCAGTCATGCGCGGCTGCTTGAGCATGTCTGGGAATCTAACCAGGGAGACTGGTGCATGAGGTCTTGGTGTCCTTGCCAGACGAAAGCAAGAACTGGCCTGTGCTGCTCCCAGCGTTCAGGTAGTAGGTGGCTCTACAAACAGCCGGAAACTGCCTGTGCTGAGGTTGACAAGCTTTGGCATCTGCACTTCTGTCGTCCGACGTGCGGCAACTCCTCCAGTGGTCAGGTGAGCTGCATTGTTTGGAGAAGTTGTCGTAGCCGCTGTTCGCTCGGTCGCCAGGCGGACACCTTTTTCATGTCAGGCTTCTTGCAGGGCGAGGCCTCTCGACATTGCCATGTGAACTGTAAAGATCATGCTTCCCTGTGCGAGACGTATCCGGGCTGGGAGCCTGTGCAGACCAACGGCAAGATTGAAGGCCGAAGTGCAGGGTTGGCAGCGCTGCTGACTCTAGTTCTTCACTATGTCTCTGTACAAACTTAGCGCAAGTGCGAAATAGCAAGGCGCTGCGTGCGTAAGCGTGGATAATGCGTGCCTGGCCTGTACATAGAGGTGCTGGGGTCATTGGATAGCCCAATACGGGCAGATCCGATTCCTCGACACCGAACCGCAGCAGCACCGCCAACCAGCGCCCCTGGCCAGTCCGCTGGAGCCGTGCGAAAAGAGAGAGAAGCGCACAAAACACAAGCGCAAGCGCGCGCGCACACACACACACACACATCCATCCATCCATCCATGCATGCATACATGCATACATGCATACATACATGCACGTATACGTATACATACACGTACACATACACATACACTCACACACACATCAACACACAGAGACAGGATGATAGGGAGTGAGATATGGCATTATGTGTAGACTTTGACTGTGTGTTCCAACTACCAAGTTGTTATGCTTGCAAGTGTAAAATGATGTGGCTAAAGTGGCTTACGCGAATGGAAACATGGCCGGTGCCAAGTCGTTCTTTTCTCTCTGCCGTTTGCTGAGATGTTCTGCTGAACGGAGTTGGCAGCTCTAGGATGTAGGGGGACCAGTGGGGTTTGCTGAGGCCAGAACCTTACACTCCCTGATGTAGTTCTTGTTCTGATGCAGTTTAGCCGTGGCATTGGGCTGAGGAGTCCTATCCTCCTTTTCGAAATGTCGCAGACCGGCAAGTCAAAGAGGAACCAGCGCGAGAGCAATTTGGCCGTCCCTTGGATTCAGAAAGCTGACTCTGGCTCGGTTTGTGTTGCTATGCCGTCGTCCTGGTCCGAGGAAAAGTACCAGACGGACGGCCCCTTCACCACGGCACCAGGGCACCGAATGCTATCGCTGTATGATGCTGTATGTCTGAGTACTTGCTTCAGACACATCCAACAGCGTACATCGAGGCAACGCTTTTCTGTCGTTTGCTGCATGGTTTGCGCATTAAGCTTTCGACCTGCATGCCGTGCTGCATGTCACAATCTGGTTGCCGAGCGCATGGGCTTAGAGCTGGTCTTGGTGTTTCTTCTCGTTGACTCTCCGTTCGGTTCCATCTGATAAATTTCTAGGTGTATGGGTTTGATGTTAAGGGGAGGGTTTGGAGGCTGTTTTAGCAAGTGTAGGGTAGCAAACACACATCTCTGCAGCCCTCCCCATTGATGAGGCGCGAATGCCCGAAGTGAAGCCGATCAGGTCTTTCGTCAGTATCTCACATGCAAACTTCTATGTAAACGTCTGAAGTGGATCAGCATCCATGCGTGAACCACAGCTGTAGAAGTGCATCGGGTTCGTAGGGTCCCAAGATACCCTGGTACCGGTCTTTGCTGCTTTCGCGCGCTGGCCAGTGTTGCTAGATGGCTAAACGAAACAGGGCCGGAATGCCGAACGGAACTGCTTCAGCACGGTCATGCTACGACATGTTGTGCGGTGCTGTCGACTCGAGCTTGTCTCCCTTGGAGAGTGAAGAGCTATGGGCCCAGGTAATGATTCGAAACATTCCTACGGAATACACACAGGATGAACTGATCATGGAAGTGAGCGAGGCCCAATGAAGATGCATCGAGCTTCCTACTGTTTTGGAAATGGTTTGGGATGTTTGAAGGTCATGGGATCACCTCACTTCTTTGACTTCTTCTATTTGTTGGAACCTCAGCACACTAGAGTTTGAAACTTCGCGCAGACCAGCTTCGGTTCCCGGGCGGCCGCAGCATTAATTGGTTGGGCCGTGTGTGCTGCATTAGTATGTTCCCTTTGCTTTTCTGAGGCCATGGGATACGCAAAACGACTGCAACATCGGTCGAGCGGCGAGTTTAACTGCGGTCCAGCGGTGTAAGTCAGTGTGTCCTGGGCGGCGCTGCACAAGATGTCATGCAAGATACCCTGGCAATGGATGGTCATGCCATCGTACCACCCTTCCCTCAAGAGCGTCCGTGATGTACCATTTCGCGTGAGCTGGACATGTACGTCAGCGTGAAGTCGCTGTCCCTGTTCTTCTGTCGGCCGTCCTTGCCAGGTTATGTGTTCGTCAACTTTCCGGACCCTGCAGCAGCTCAAAACGCCGCTGGGGCCCAAGCTCATCAGAGCTCGAAGATGTCACATGGCAAAAGGGTTAAGTTATATCAGTGGACACTCAACTTTCCATTCATGCCTGCGGGATGTGATTTCCTGGCTGATGCCCGGGATGCCAAGGACATATATCGATAATAAAGCTCTCCTATAAAGCTCTCCTAGTGTAGCAGTGCAATCGCTCCATCCTCGCACGCCTCTGACATTGGGCCGTCCTGTTCTGCTGAGGTTCGAGCTTTTTCCAATTATCATTTCCGTCTTCACGATAGCAAAAAGGTGGGTGGCCGGAGAAACACCGTGTTGGCTTTCGACTGCATGTTCACTGCATGCGATGTGTTGGAATCAAAAGTATCAAGCGCTTCCTGCTCCAGGTTGGCAAAGTATCGCCAGCGCACATCCAGGTGGTTTGCTCACGGATCCGTAGGGCAAGTCGGTCCAGCTGCACGCGGCACATCCGTATCCTATGCATGTCCTATGATGACTCAACTTCGTCAGGGCCTTGAGAACAACCTCAGGCACCTCCAGGAACGGCTAGTGCTTGGCAATCTCAAGTCTCGGCACATGTGCAGAGACGGGCGTTCGCAGGATCGAGCTGTCGTGCTGGGCAACCATCCTTGCAGCCCCATAGTAATGTGGTAGCTTGGCTTGCATCTCGTGTGTTTTTTCCATGGTTTCTGCCACCACCTTGTCCCCTGCCGCGGGGGTGGGTCTGCATGTTGGCATATTGGCGGTTACGATTCGCTGAGGAAGGGACAGAAGGCCTGTGCTCAAGTGGAGAGAGCGTTCTCTGCTGACAGCCGTTTCATGGCCTTGGAGGTGGAACTGAGCCTCATATTTCAAGAGCTGAGGACCCAGGAGCCTCGGTGTGTTGTCATCGGATAGCTCTGCAATAGCAGCTCTGCGGCACTGCGATAGCTCATCAGGACACCTTGAGAAAGTTTGAGAGTGGCCACAGCTCCTCTCCTGGTCAAGCCCTCGAGAATCAAACGGATCTTCTGCGGTTCTTGCCTGCAGAGTCTAGACTCTCGGAGGCCACATCCAGGCACAGAGCGACCTCGCCCAGGCACTGCTCAGAAGAAGTCTCAATGCGACAAGGGGGCCTAAACCCTAAACCCTAATCCCACACGGTACTGGCAGGGGAGAGAGAGACAGAGCGCTCCCTGGGCCTCCCACCTGGTAGGGAGAGAGAATGAGAGATAGGCAACTCCCCACCACAGCCCCGGCGAAAGAAAGAGAGAGATAGAATCGAATGTACTGTAGTCGGGAAAGGGCATGTTTACTTTTTGAACTGCTGCGATGTCCTTGTCTCTTGAGTCGGGGGAAGGATTTGGATTTCAACACCTAGATTGTTCCTTTTTCTCTCGCGACTCAACTTGCCGTGTCACAGTTCCCCAGAAGAACACCACAACAGCATGGGTGGGCCATACGGCTTGGGAACTTGAGACGTTGCCCCATGTTCCCCCTGCCCAATAGAAAAAAAAGGAGAGAGAGAGAGAGAGAGAGAGAGTTAGAGTTAACGTGGGTGAGGGGGCTTGCCCTCCTTGCCCCTAGCCCTGGCGAAAGAAAGTTAGAGTTAACGTCGGAGCGTTAGCCGGCGAAGGCACGTTGGGGGTGGGGGCTGCCTGCTTTGTGATTGGAAGCGCGGCTGACCAACTAAGCGGGGCAGCTCGTTCGACTGTGCGGTAACATGCGAGGGCAGTTCGCACAGCCAGAGCCGCCACCAGCAAAATTTGAACACTGTCAGACTGAGGGCATAGGGTCTTCGGGTTTGGGGTCTTCGGGTTTGGGGTCTTAGGGTTTGGGGTCTAGGGTTTAAAGTGTTTAGGTTTAGGTTTAGGATGTGGGTTTAGGAGCCAGGCCCGATGCGAGAAGACAGGCTGGTTGCCCAGCAGGAACAAGTCGCAAACAAGGGGTGTGGGCCTTTCCGGCCTGCTTCCCCAGCGCAAGGCCTGGGGACGAGCTTTTCACAGCCCCGGCCACCTGAGGAAAGGAAAACTAGAGCGAGAGAGGGAGGAGGAAGCCTGCAGAGAACGAGCCATTGGAAGCCGTTCTGCTCTGCTGTCATTTGCCACTTCCCACTTGTCGAGTCTCGCAAGGTCTGAGGCGCTTCGTTTCGCTGGGGGGAGACAGAGAGGTGAGACAAGGATGAATTCGTTAAGAAATGCTGCAATGACCCGTGATGGTGCCACTACCTCACTTCGCTGGCAGCTTTGCTCGTCCACAGGTTCATGCGTTGCAGCGAAGGCTTCGGGAAGGAAGGGACACAAGATCGGGGGGGGGGGTGAGGGGAAAGGGGGAAGGTGCTGGTGCACCAGGAGGGGATTAAGGGAGAGTGAGGGGCCCGGCAGTCCGCATTCTCTTACCCCTCAGTTTTGAGGGGTTTCCTCGGCTCGGAGCCAATCTTTGGTCAGAGAGACTAACCAAAGCGTTTATCATAAAAAGAGCAATCCTTCATCAATCCTTCATGGGTTGGCCGAAGACACACGCAATGGCCGGTATGAATGCCAAGCCGGTGAGACAGAAACCCTGGGACCAGAAGGCCCTGCAACAAAAAGCAGAAGATAGGAAATAGAAGGACAAGAGATCAGTTTACAGAGTTTAGAGTGTCTTTGGGTGTCGGAACTCGAGGCCGCAGCCGAAGCCTTGAAGGCCCCAGCACCGGCGAATGTCGGCGAGGCGAGTGCAGTGCAAGGAGGGCAGAAGATAATGCGTTCCGGTTCCATGGGTTCCCTGGCGCCAGACTTTCGCTGCCCTGCTGGACCGCGCGGCGGGGCTTTCTCGATCGCAAGGCCCGTGACTGGAGCGTTATCAGTTTGGAGTGGATCCTGACGCACTTGCGAAGTGCAAAGGTGCAGCGATGGATCCTGGCTTAGTGATGCCCTACATGCAGCGGGCAAGCCCGATCAGAATTCCGAGTTTTTTTTGCATGGGCTGTGATGTCTCAAGCGCCAGTTTCAAGCACAGAGTCAGGCAGCTCAGGGAATGCAACAAGGCCTCGCCGGAGACACAAGTTGATGTGTCCCAAGTTCTGCAGCTGTGACGTGCGGTTCATCCCGAGCTGACACACTGTGCAGGCGGTCAGGGCATTCTGTCGCCACCTGGATCCGTTGGGTCGAACTACAGTATGGTGACGGCACAAGGCGGGTGCAGCATTCTGTGATGTCTTTGGGTGCGCAGGGTCAGATCGGGAGACAAATTGCAAAGCGCAGGAGGTGCATCACCTGCTGCCGCAGCATACAATCGCATGATGGCAGCTGGAGCTCAAGGCTTCCCAGGAGAGGGTCCTGTTGAAGGCGACTGGGTTTCGGACCCGGGCCAGGCTACAGCCACCCTGGCCTTGGTCAGGCGGTGAATCTTTTGCAGACCCGGACCCAGCCACCGGACCCGCCTGATTCCTTTAAAGCCGAGAGAAGTCACCACGGCTCCCAGGTCGGCGGTGCCCTGCCAGAGGGCGCCTGCCTCCGACAAGGGGGTCTCAATGGGCCCACCGCCTGGCCAGTTCTTTGCAAGGCCTGCAGACACGCTGCTGAAAGGCGGTCAGCATGTTGCAGCTGTATGACAGCACGGCTGTGGAGGAAGCCAGAGCAGCTCACTGCTCCAAGTCCGAGCTCCTTGAATGCCTCAGCTGCGCCGTGGCCATCAGCACAGGACATCCCATGCCGCAGGTACCCAGGTGAGATGAAAAGCAAGCTGTTCGCAGGAGCTGGCTGCCATCGGACTGGTGGCAGATCCAAATCTGTGCGCCTGATTTTGGGTACTGAGCTGCACCGTTTCTTTTTTGAAGCTGTGCGCAGGAGACACAGCCACAGCATTTGCTCTGTAGGTGTTTACTAAGAGAGTCACAGTGAGTTTGTCACAGCCGACTTGCGATTTGCACCAAAGCCATGAAGCGGGTGCGCTCGGGGATGTCCGAGTCAAGAAAACCTTGTCCAAACGACCTGGGCTCGAAGCCTTGCGGATGCGATGTGGGGCTTCGCTGATCAAGCACATAGTCACTGATGCTTCTGTATAGTCGGTGTAGCGCACATATAAAGTCAACTGCGCATGGAGAGGGAACCTCCGCGAGTCTAGCCCTTCACGACTTCTAGTGCTGAGCTGTCGGTACCTCTACACACACACACACAGACACAAACACATGGGCCAAGACTCGGGATGCCGTCGTGTGCTTGCTTTATGCTTGTGCCGGGTCACTCGAGACTCCGATTTACTGGGGCCTCTTCATGACATCATCGTCAGATCGCAGGAAAGAGGCATTTGCTTAGGAATATTGTTTTCAGAATGATTGAACTCTGATTCAAGAAATGGTCGAGGTACTGGACCACCTAGCAGGATCCCGCAAGCAGTCCAGGCATGGATAGCGAAGTAGCGGCCCGCATAAAAAGTACAGCGTCTCTAGGCAGGCAGACCGAACGCCTGGTGCAAGCGCAAGCTGACGGAGTGGAACTAACGACACAAGATGTCGATAGGCAGCGGCCAAGCTGGTATTCGGATATGAGGAGACTGAAAACTGATGAAGTCGAAACATTGCTAGAGTCCTTGCCAGAGCCGACCCTGGAGGCACGGGAACGAGCACGGGAACCGTGAAATGCGCCTAGACCACTCAGCAGCAAACTGAGTGAGGTTGTCAGACATGTGCCACCAGCCGGGAAAGCGTCCACAGCTGCGAAGCCCTCACCAATCGAAGCCAGGCCAAATCCTGCAGGAAGACCATTGGCAAAGGCGAAGCACACGCTCGTTAGGATGTCATTAACAGTCCTCCACTTGGACGTCACACGAGAGAAACAAAAACTCAGAGCAGGGTCTGATGGCTCTGGTACAGAGACTGATCACGCACGCACAAGATCGGGAGGCATCTGCAGACAAGACACGCACACAGCTCGATGAAGAACGAGAGAAGCATGAGGCGGCTGCAGACCAGGCACACAAGCAGCTCGATGCCGAGAGAGACAAGCGTGCGGATGCAGAGCTAACGGCTGCAAACGCGGAAGCATCTCTGTCGAGAGCATACTTTCTTTCGTAAAGGCTTCTTAAAGTACTAGAGCCAATCTTCACATATGTTCACGGAACTTCATGCTGCAGACCCACGTCGGACTCAGAGGCGCTCAAGGCGATACCTCATGCATTCCGCATCATGCCTGCCACGCCTTAGGTGTGGCACGGGCTGTCGGTCAAGCTCGAGATATCTTTAGTGTGTGTTCAAGGTGTGTACTTTCGTCAAAGCATTTCCCGGTGATGCTACAGACCCACAGTGGCCTCGAGTGCTGCGTCCTCTCTTAACTCTCTTCGTAGAGCCGACGACTGCCCTGCAAAGATCAAAGATTGACTCGGAGCATGTCTGCATCTATGATCGTTGCTGCATGCTGATGCTGAAACTTTTCCCCAAATTATCCAAGTAAAGCTTTTTTGTATCTCCCCCACTCATTCTTCACTCGCTACTCGTGCTGGCACTTGCGGAGAGGTACGGCATGCTGCAGAACCGGTCAGCATGCAATCAAGCCTGGACTGCATCCTCAAAAGCCACGGGGCATGGGCAGCAATCCGATGCATCAAACATTACGAAACAGCATCGCGTGCTATTTGCAGGAACGTCGATGAAGACATCTTTGGTGGAGATGACCAAGATGGTCCAGATCTCGTTTTCGGCTATATGAAGAGACGGCATGTTGGTTCGTGTTGGAGGCACACCGACGCCGTACGACTCACGAACGCCCGCCGCCACTCCCTCGAATCCGAAATTCATGCAAGGATACATGATTGACGCGTTCCACTGCTGGAAGGTGGTTTCGCCGCATTCCTGGTCTGGATCCCCGACAGCACCACCAGGATTAGCGCCGCCACCAGCTGGAGCGCACGATGCTTACAGTCTTACAGTATAACCAGACATGCCATGGTTGTAAAGTCACAGCGCAGAGCTGGGCGGCTTCCCACAAGGAGCCGCTCTCGAATTCACGGAAGGAGACACCAGGAATACAAGGGCATCAGCTAGAGGGTGGCAGATGTGAGCGGCGTGGACAGGGGGTGTAGGTTGGGCAGCAGAATCGCGGTGACAACCCCGGGCAGGGGAATGAAGTGTGGTGTACTACTTTCATCACGGCAGAGAGAGAGAGAGAGAGAGAGAGAGAGAGAGAGAGACAGAGAGAGCAGTCCAGAGTTGTGTTGTGTTGTGTTCTAGGGGGGCAGCAAGCTTTTCCGAACAGTCGCCAAGCGTTGAGCAGTAACAAACTGCGAGACGGAACACAGAGCATGCCGCCGTGGCGAGAAGAGGCCGGGGGTTCACTAGGTTTCAAATTGAGGGGGGTGCAGAGCTTCCAGCCCACGGCCTCAGCTCGTAGAGAAAGTTCACACAGACCAAGAGACCCAGTGCGCGTGCGCGCGCGGGGAGGGCGGGGACCCGCCTTCCTTTGGCTGTGCAGAAGAAGAGAGCTGTTTCTGTCGTCTGTAACCTGGGCATGTGATGCGTCGCTGTGTTATGATTTTCAGCCGTCTCTCTGAGGCAGCATTTGCATGACGGTGGTAGCAACAGCCGGCGAAGCATGCCGGGAGCCCAGTCCGACTCGGCTCTGGTCGCTAGGGACAGTCGCCGGGAGGCTCTCCCCGCCATCAAGTGCTTCAGGCAGGCATGCATTGAGGCACCGTCGGAGGGGGCAGTGCTCAAGTCAAGACTCCTTTTTGGTGTGTAGCCTCGCCTGCCCAGGCCGGGCTTGCAATCCGGATGTCCTTCCACGGCTACGACTTCAGGCCATCACCAAAACGCACGATGACTCTGTCAAGGCTGCAGTTGACATGAACATCAGGTAGCGGATCTCCTGAGTTGACAGTGACGTTCTCACTTGACGATGCGTGCGACAGTCCTCTGCGACCAGCGGCTTGCATCACACTCTGAGCCCGAGGCTCCACCAATCAAGCCGGAGCCACCGGCAGTGATGTCAAACATGGCAGCAAGTAATGCCATCGTCAGGGGCCTAGAGTGCGTGAGATCCGCGTCGTTGAGTGCTTGACGGCCAGTGTAGACAGAAGGTTTCTCGTGCACGCAGCACAATCCGGTTCGCCCTGCAGGGAATCAAAGAAATCACCATGAAGAGTGCGGACCAGAATTTGCTCCTCGACCATGAAAGAGTGTATTGCGTCGACCGAAGCATTCACACACCAGCTAGTGTATGACAGGTTGGACAAGTTCATGGCAAAATTTGGCTCTCCTTGAGCTGACATCAAGGACGATTCACCTGTCCGGAAAGCTGTCTGAATTGATGAATGGAGCGAGCTCTTCCAGAAATGTGTCCGGTCTGTTTTGCCAGCAGGACTTTCCGCAAACGGCTTTCCGTGCAGTTCTGGCCGGCCATGGCCAGAGCCTGTCCTTCAGACACACGACTCCAGCGTTCTAGGACTCCAGCGTTCTTGCCTGCCGGTCAGTATAAGCGAACCTAAAAAAAGCCAGGAGCTTTCCAAACTAGCACCCACGCTGGAGTGTTAAAGTGGAAAGTGTTCCACAGGCAGAGTTGCCAGTTTCGTCTCACTCGCGCAAGCAGCGGCTTGCCCAGACACCCTGAGTCGATGTCGAGACAAGCAGTATACTGCTTGTTTTGCTGCTTGCAGCAATGCAAATGAACAAGGTTGCAGACGTTGAACATATGTCAGTTTTTTGCAGGCAAGTTAAGATGGCATCAGTACATTCTTGAGGCAACCTGGATTTTCAGATCCGATTGTCAGCTGGCAACCAGCTTGCAAAGCACACCTGAACCGCTTAAAGTGCACAGCCTGTGCCGTGAGGTGGCGTCGACTCATTCGAACCTCGCCGGAGGCAGTTCGTTTGGGATCTGCTGTTCCACGGTGCGTGCTGCACTTCCAACGGTCACTTCAACCGGTCTTGAGCACGTTTTTTCTTTGAAGGTCTGGTGGCCTGTGCTTTGAACACTAATCGGCCAGCAGTCTGAAGTCTTGTGAGTCGGGCTACAGGTCACTCAGACATTTCAGCACTCCTGTGCGGGAAAGCGTGTTCCAGCAAGCGTCATTTGCACAGCCACGCGAAAAAAGCAGAAACACCAGCGAGTGGCAGTCAAGTGTGCGCGTTGACACCAACAGCATGGATGCAGGCACTGACATGCATGTCTGAATACGTTGCTGCTGCATGCTACGATTTCGTGTGTTCGTTTCGGTGGTGAGATACACCGTAACATGAAAGTCTGATGTAACGACGAAGGTCGTCGGCCCTAGGCCAAACGAATTCGGTAACTTCGATATCTGGGCCATGCACATATGCCATGTGTTCGCAGGCATGCCCGCCAGGGGCCGCCGCAAACACGTGACAGGTCACGCAACACCGTGCGCCTGCAGCACACCGGCCACCGAGTCACTAGCATTCGACACGATCGGACATCAAGAGATGGGTCCATGGCCGCACTGTGGACATTGGCCAGCCTTGCACCCCGCATCCTGGATGTTACACAAGGTCGAAAGACAGATGTCAGACTTTTGGAGATGTCGGAGACGCGCGCTTCCATAAGGACACAGTGCAGGGCAACAGCCTGACTGTCCCAAAGATGGAAAGCAGCTTCACCTGCTTGTCATGCTGCTCGTGGTCACGGGTCGCAACAGTCAACCAGTCGCGCAGGCTCCGACAAGCCAAGTCATGCAGTCCATGAGGGGCGTTGTTTTGGACTGGTTTGGACAATTCTGTACTTGCTTCAAGTACTGAAAAACTGGAACACAAGGGCTGACCAGAAGGAGATGCGGCCGGTGCTGACACCTGCAGGACTTCCAAAAGTCTTAGAAAAAATCCAGAATCTGAAGCCAGGCATGGCCAAGGCAGAGCTCAGGACTTGTCAACTGCCGGTAGGACCATAGGTCGCTTCGTCGCCTTCTGTGCCGCCATGAGGCCCAGAGGGCCCCGAGGCTCCGAAAGTGCCACTCGAAACATGGCATCATGAGTCAGAGAGCCGCTTTTCAGCAAAACCCTTCAATCATCCAGACAGCCTCGGCGTAAGGCGTTGAAGGGTAGAACGTGCATTTCGCCGTAGTGGCGCAGCGCGATGCTGGTTGCCAACCCTCCCGCCACATCGCCGGTATGCAGCGTGTTCCGCGGTGCCCTCGGCAATCGACACCTGCAACATGGCTTCTACAACCCAGATGGGTGGAAATCGCTGTCAGCCTAGGTGTTGTCCAAGCCTGCTCAGCGACGAGCAGTGGCTCTGTCATCCGGCAGCGGGGTCTCCAGATTTCGAGGAAGCACCGGATGGTCCGTGGGGAGGGCGGTGTGGACTTCTGACAGAAATCCGAGCTTGCAGTTGCAGGAGTGCTGCCGCCGTGGCGTTCGCTGTTTGTCTGCAACGACTTAAGACTTTCTTCCCGTAAAGTTGCAAGCAGCCCTCCAGGTAAAACTCGCGGTGAAATGCGGTGAAGTCCTTGCAGGTTCTCAGCTTCCGGCGTCGACGGGCAAGTGTAGTCCAGCGGCCAGCCCAAGGAGTCCAAGGAGGCCTTGGGCTTGGAGATTTGCTTCTGGCCCCAATCCTTGCCATATTCTGCAGGCAACAGAAGCCAGAGTTCTTCTGCAACTTGTGCCGCTGCTTGCGTGGTGGTGTGTGGCATTCCTGGTTCCGGCAAGAGCACGCGCGCCATCGTGAATTTCGACTCGCCACCGGTGCATTCGGCTAGCATGTGAGAAGAGGCTGTGCCGCTTGCTGTGTGCTGCTTTTGAAGACAGCACGTGGCTAAATCAGGCACGATTGTTTGCGCATCGAGATGTGATCCCATGAGTCTGACTGTCATGTTCGCAGGACCATTTTCCCTCGGGACCGAGAGCCAAAGTGCAGTTCTTGAGGCTGCAGTCGTTCCCCCATGCAGTATGCGTCGATGCTACCAGCCAGCATTGTGCCAGGGGGGTGCAGAATAGCTTAGATGCCGCGATGCGGCCCGGCCGTGTCCGCCTCAGCATCCACCTTCACTGGAGGGTGTTGGTCCACCACATGTTGCAAACTTCCTGCATTGGTGGCGAGTGCATTTTACGGCCAAGTTATACCGTTGAGGTTCAGCGCTGGTCTGCGTAGACAAGGTGAATGTTCAGAAGGCCCAGAGCGGACCATGTAGCTTTAGATTACTTGGAGCCGGTGCGACTACCGGCGGGTCAGAGAGAGCGGTAGCAAGGACGCACCCGCTAGATGCGCTGGTATGACTCGGTATGACACTAAAGTCTATAGTCACTAAAGGTCTGAATGTGTTTGTATTCCACTATATGCTGAAGGCGAAGCACACGCACACACAAGCACACTTCAAAAGTGTAGTCTGCACTCCCGGATGGATTCCCTCAAAGAGGTTACACGAGCTAGCCGCAAACAGTGTTAGCTGTGTGTCAGGTCATGAATCACGAGGCATCTTGTAAGTGAGCACTCTGCAAAGCTGAGGCTGGCGCATGTTGTCAATTAGGGTTACGTTTGCACAGCGATTGTATCACAGGATGGAAAACCATGTACAGCATATACGATGAAGATGTCACAAGCTGTGTTGCAGGTACAAGATCAAATGTCCTTGACCCCTTCCCACCTTTGGCAATAGCTTCAATAGCTTCGTTGCGTGCAGTATGCCAAAGGTGCTGCACGCCCCTGCTGAAGTTGTGTTGAAGCAGTGACATCGTTAGGCTTCTGAATGCAAAACACTCGCAGATCGGTTGGAGAGTGATCTCCTTAACCCCATGAACGTTACTGAGCTTGATCAGGGATGTTTGGATTAGGACGCAACGGCAACCGACCGCTCAGCCGCTGGCTCGCAGCTTCGGTCGGTTGCCTTTGACTTGTGACTTGCTTTTGCACTTGCACTCCGTTCGTTCGTGGCGTCTACGTCCGTCCGTGCGGTGTGCCTGTCAGGTTTTCAGGTTTTTCCGACCGTAGTCGTCGAGCCATGGCTTCCTCGTCTTCATCGAGCTCTGAGAGATCGCGTTCTCCGTGCCGTCCGGCTTTGTCCGGCGGTACCGCAGGACCTTTCTCAGTATCTTGGATGTCTGTTCCGCTTCTCCGTCCTTTCAGGACCGGAGCTGGTGGACAGTCCACTTCCAGGTGCGCCCTCGGCCCCTGTTTCTCCGTTGTTTGCTTTCGTGCCAGGTCACGATTCAAACGACGAGCCGTTCGGTCGGTGGCTCAGGTTTCTCCTAGCTCCGTCCGCTGATGTTCGTGCGGCCCCAGGTCCTACGAACACTCCGAGTACAATGGGAGGTGCCCTCGGCTTTCCCGTTTTGCTCATTCCTTTTGTCTCCGGCTGCAGGTATCACCACTCCGCCCCGCGCCAGTGAACGATCTCCTGCTATGCCGCCCGAGGACCGACTTTGCACCTTGCTGGTTTGTCCTTTTTTGCTGCCTGCCGTGTTGGTTGCTTCAGCCTTGAGCGACCTTGCGCAGCTGCATTCTCAAGCATCCCTCGCGATCTTTGAGTTCCTTTCTGCTTCTGTGTTGCACCATGGCCACCGGTCCTGCGTCCAGTGCTGCGGCGGCGATGACTGGCCCCGGCCCGTCCGTCCCGTCTCCAGCCACGGTGGCACCAGGACACGCAGCTTTGCCGCCCGTCTCCGACGTCCTCGCCGAGCTTCTCACCTTTCCGGACGAGACCCTTTGGCCGGCTCTCCGTGATCTGGTTCCGGAGGATCTGATGAGGTTCCATGATCTCATCGGCTCCGCCTTTGCCGACAGGCTTGGCCTTACCCCGCTGCGGTTCCAGAACCCTCCGCCCGACGTCGACATGGTGCACCCGGCCCAGCCCACGGTCCCGGACACCAACATGACTGGTCCGCCCGCTGGCGGTGGCAACTCCGACCTCCTCGACCTCGGTGATGATGGTCCGCCCGCCCCGACGACGGTGCCAGACTTTCACCCGCCCGAAGTCACGCGCCGATCTGGCTATGCTGAGGGCGGCCCGTTGCCCAATCTGGGCAACCAAGAACCCGGCATGGCTACGCCAACTTGATTTGTCCGACCTGGCCCCGGACACCTACGAGTGGGTGGATGTCGCTCCGCCCCTCCCGCGCGCCATGGCTGACAATGGTCCGTGGTCCAACCGTGAAGGGTGGAGGATCCGTGTTTGCTCGCACTTTCCGCTGTCTCCGCAAACAATTCGCCGCCCGGGCTACTGGCCGTATGCAGACTTGTTCTGTATCCGCCCGGCCGACCACCCGAGTTGGCTTGAGCGACAGATTCCGCCCCAGCCCGTTTCACATCTTCCGGTGCGGGGATACTGCTCGCATGTAGACCGGTATTCCGCGAACACCCACGGCTTCCGCTGTGTGGGGTTATGCCTCCGCCCGGTCATGTACGGCGAAAGGGCCCCTCATGAGCAGCACACCTGCATCAATTGCCTTAAGGGCCACTGAGCTCCGCCCGACCGCATCTTCCGCTGGAAAATGTGTCGTGCGAGCTCGGTTCCTTTTGCCTTTGCGGTTTCTGTGCTTGAGCTTATCTTATCTGTGCCTGCTGTCAGGACTGCCACCGACCGTCTTCGCCGTCCAGGTTGGGATCGCCGTCTCTGAGGCCTAGTCATGCTGCCGTGCAGCTGCGCAAAGTTTTGCAGGCAGGCTCCTTTGCCGTTAGTTCCGATGTCCGTTTGCAGTCACCCGTCCGTGCCCCGCGTCCGGATGGTTGTGTGCACTCGCCCTTGCAATGCGGCCGTGACTCTGCATCCTGGCTTGACGATGCGTTGCGTTCGCCCTCTCCCTCTCAGCCTCTGGTTGATACTCCGCCTTCTCAACCTGGCTCCTCTTCTGTGAACGGCTTCGAGGTCGTTTCTTCGGCTGCCCCTTCGGACCCTTTGCGTGCCCGCCCGGCTTTGGCGGCTGCTGTGCCCCGCACACTTGTGCCTCGAGCCGCCCGCCTACCTGCGTTCGCGGCTCCCACTCCGGGTCCTGCTGCTTGCCCTAGGCGGTGGGCTGATGGTCGCCCCAACTCTGCTTACCGCCCGCGTGGCTTCGAGGAGGCCCGCCCATGCACATCGTTGTCTCCCCCTTCTTTGCATACTCCCGTTTCCTCCTCGACCTTCTCATTCTCACCGCCTTGTGTGTCTTCGGCACTTCCAGCTCCGTCTCTCCCTCGGGGTACCATGCCGGCACATTTGTTGCCACCCGTGTCGCGCCTGCCCTCGGCTTCGGCGTGTTACCAGTACCCGGGGCCTCGGCTGCAACCCGTTTCCCCTGCTTCTGTACATTTCTCTGCTGTTTCCACTCCTGCTCCCAAAGCCGGCGCTGCCATGTCTACCGCGGGCCGTGTCCAACTGGCCATGCATGCACTGTCCGCGCGCTGGTTTGCCATTCTGTGCGCGCTGGCTTCCGCATCCGCACTTTTTGTTGACTGCCAGGCCTCCTCCAGCCCGGAGGCTCACATGTCCCGGGCGATCGCCAAGTTCGCACCCTCCACCTTGGAGCGCTACTTTGACCAATGGTCTTCCTGGTCCCGTCACTGTGAACTTGCGGGGTTTCACCCGGCTTCCCCGCCTCCTGGCTTCCTTCCCGAATGGATTGCGTCTCGTGCTAGTGCCCAGGGCCTGGCAACCGCCCCCCTTAAGGCCTTGGCTTGGATGTGCAAAACGGCCGGCCTGCCTTCTCTGCGTGACTCTCTGTCATCTCCGTTGTGCCGGGCCTTCGCCGTTGCCTCTGCCCCGTCCGAGCACCGCGAGAGCTTGCCACTCAGCTTGTCCTTTGTGGTGTGGCTGGAGCAGTCTGTGCTTGATCCGAACACCTCGCCGGCTCAGGTTCTCCGTCTCGGGTTTGTGCTTGTCTGCGTTTGGGCTTCCCTTGGCTGGGGGGGCTCTATTTGGGTCCCCCCTGCCCGACTGCAATACCAACTGTCCGTGCAGGCCCTTGTCGGTGTTTCCGTCCGCACGAAAACGACAAAACGAGGTATGCCGTGGGGGCTTTTGGTGCACGGCTTCCTGGGATCCTCTACTTCTTCATGGGCGCTCCGTTTCCTATCGTGCCTACGCCAGGCGGTGTCCGACACGCTGGCTCTGCAGCCTACGCGCACTTTGGATTTTTTGCCGGCCGTCCTGTCCGGCAGCGAGAGCCGTCCACTCATCTCCGAGCCCTGGGACCGCGACAGTTTCGTTCCCTGGCTTCGGGACTTGCTGTGTCAGCACTGGTCTTTGCATTCCCGTGAGCCTCTCCCGTCCGTGTTCTCTTTGGTGGCTGCACAGTCCCTTAAGGCAACTATGTTGAGTTGGGCCCGCCAGCTCTCCATTGAATCCGATGCCCGTCGCATTCAGGGGCACCATCGACTTTCTGGGGCCGACCGTTCCCTTTATTCCCGTGATGATATCATTCCTATGGTCCGGTTACAAGCTCGTGTGGTCGCGGCCTTCCGCAACGGCTTCCGTCCTTTGCAACCCGTTGGCCGCGGTCTTGAGGCCCCCGTGGCGGATTTCCCTGTGGTTCTGCCTTCTGGAACGCTGCCGTCTTTGGATTCGGCTGCTTTGCCGCCTGATTGCCTCCCCGACGTCCCCCTCTCGCCACCCGCTGCAAGCCCTCCCGTGCCAGCAGATCCTCCTCCTCCCCTTCCGACGATCCCGGTGCTCCCGGTTCCTTCGGCCGAGGATGATCTTGTGTCACTGTCTTCGGAGGAGTCTGAAGCTCCGCCCGCAGATCAGGACGAGGCTGAGGATTGGGAGGCCGATTTGGTTGAAAAAGCGGCCATCAAGGCCGCATCCTCTGCCCCTTGGCTTATGCATAATCCGCGCAGCAATGTATAGTGCACTTTGCTCAGACTTGTGCCCCGGATGCTCTCCGTTCAATCCGTATGCTGCGACAGGACGGGTCCGCTGTGCATGTCCGACCAGCCTGTGCGCAGACTCGCCAGATGGTCTCCGGACCCCTGCTGTCTGGTCCGCCCGCTGGTTCGGTGTTGTGCCTCCGCGGCGCCTGCTTTTCCCGTTTGTCGCAGCCAGACTGACTCAGCGCCGCGGGTCAGTGAAAAGAAGCCTGCGAACGGTTTCCGCTGTCTGTTTCTTGTTCGTCATGCTTTCTGCCATGAGCGCATGTGTGTCCGCAGCCGTTTTTCGGGATTTTGTGCTACATTTGCTTGCCCCCGTCTCTCAGCGTCATGGCGTTCGAGGGCAACGCATCGGGCTCCGGTGGCTTCGATCCACCCGGCCGCTATTTCATGCAGCGCGCCGCAGCCGTGTCCGAACCAGGCCCGGAGCCGACCCCGTCGCTCCGCCCTGAGGAATCGGATGACGGTCGCGTGTCGGACCCAGGCAACCAAGCCCCGGTGGCTTCGTCTCCCGTGGCCCCCGGCCTCGGCTTCATTGTTGCATGCATCGCCCACTTACGCCTCTTCCGTGCAGAGTCCCGCGACCAGTCCGGGCTCCTGGGCCACTGTGGGGGATGTCAGTACAGGATCTGAGCTGGTGGACCAACTATCCCGTCTCCGTCCTGACACTCGTGACCGCATTGTTCATTTGTGCATGCGGATGGGCACGCCTCCTGGGCCTAAAGCTTCGGCATCGTCTTTCCCGCCTGCGAGCCCGGCACCGGCCAAGCCAAAGGCGCATGCTCCGCCCACTCCGCTGGACGGGCTAGGGTTTCCACTGGCAGTCACGCCGGATGCTGCGGCGCCAAAAGCGCAGGCTAAAACTCCGTCTTTTCCGGCTGCCCGTCCAACTGTGGTTCACCCGCCCCCATGTCTTGTACAGTGCCCGACGCCGGGTTGTTTCAACCAATGCGGCCGTCCGGTGTACGGGCGCGGGCACCGCAATCACTTTTGCCGTGTCTGTCATCGCCTCCACGGCTGATCTGAGGTCCGTGTGCTCCGTCGCTGTGGAAAAGAAGTGAGCGCGTGCCTTGCTTGACCGTTGCATGTCTCACTCTTTCATGTGTGCTTCGTCCTGTCCGCAGCCATTTTGCTCACTGTTCAGGTAGACTGTGCTGCTTTGGACTTTGGCATCATGCCTCCAGCGTCGCGTTTGGACGACCCTTCTGCCCTCGCTGACTTCTTGTCTTCAATCTCTGCCCCTGATACTTTGGCGGCTGCCGTCAAAAGTGCAGGATTTCACACATTGGGCTCGTTGGCCTTTGCCCTCACTGACCCGTCCGATCCTGATGAGGTCATGCAGTTCATCCGGGTCATTCTCAAGATACCAGATGGCGATGCGACGGCCACTTTCCGTCCGGATGTGTCCTGCCTCCGTCGCACCATCCTCGAGGCCTGCTCTATCGCGCCTCCTCGGGCTGCGTCGGCCAATGCACCGTCGCAGCTGCCACCTGCTGCCCCATCTGCCTCGTCCTCGAATAAAATTACGGCGGCCGAGTTCCTTTCCCTTCGCAAGGACTACCTCAGGAAGTACCCGGGCGAGCTGCTGACACCCGCTAATACTCCGTCCGTTGAGTTTTTGTCGTTGATCCGTCAGCACCATGAGTCCGGCCAGTTTGTTTGGATTCCCTGGCGCCAACGCACCTCCGAAGCCGATTTTCTGCAATGGGAGGAATCCCGCCGTCCCAGATCTGATCGCCAAATGCTTCGTTCCCTTCTGGACTTGCCGGATGAAGCTGCTGGGCCGACCTTTGGCTTTAGCCTCAATGGCCCCTCCGAGTCCGTTCTCCGGCGCTGTCTGGACCTTTTCGCCACAGCCTTGGCCTTGTTGGACCTGGTTCATTTAGCCACTATTAAAAGGTTCAACGACAAGTTTTCCACAATGGCCACCACTCTGTACTGCAAAGGTGGTTCACGCTGACCGCGCGGTCTGGATGACGGTCTCCGCTCTTGTCCGTGACCAGGCCTGGTCCCTCACCGACAGCCTGAATGAAGTCGGCTTCTGCCGCCACGACATGGCCCACTGCTGCAACCCCGTCCGAAGCCGGCCCGTTCACCGCTCTCGGGCGAGCACATCGACATTCTTCACGATGGCACCTTCGCATCGCTGCGCCGCTTGTGTGCGTCTGGCCTTGTGGGCGCTGCGGCGGCGGCCCCGCCCTGTTCGGCTTTTTCCCGTGCGCGCCTCCGTCCCGGGGGCCCTCCCCCCGTCCGCACGGTGAATCAACCGCGCGGCAAAGATGTGCTCTCTCCGTCCCAGACAACCGAACTCACCACATCCTCCCTCATCCATGTCCGTTGCAGGGAGTTGTTGGCACTTGTCGCTGCACGCGGTGGTTTGATTTGGCTGGAAAACCCTACCTCCAGTCTGCTGTGGCTCGACCCGCAGGTGATGGCCTGGTGTCGCACCCACACCCCCTTCGCCTCGACTGTTGCAGCCTGTGTTCACTCCGTCCCGGCTCATAAATCCTGGACTTTCATGTGCAATCACGTATCTATTTCGTCCGTGGCTTCCGTTTGTCCGCATCCGCTTGGATTTCATCCCGCTCTGTCGGGTCATCGTGGCCCCGATGGGGTTTTCCTGACGCGCCAGACAGCCCACTACCCGGCATCGTTGGCCTCTCTGCTCGCCTCCGTCGCCGCCCCCTTTGTGGATAAGGGCACTACGAACCACTCCATTCGAAATTGGACTTGCTTTCTGCCCGCTTTTTCTTGCTGGACCCTCCCTTCCGGGCGTGTGGAGGACGGCGCTGGGCTGTGCAGTTCCGCTACGCCATTTCCCCCCACACAGTCCGATGCCCTCGGCGACCTCCGCAAGGCGTGGACCAGAAGGCTCCTGGACTCTGGCCTGCATCAGCAGATTGCTTCTCGTCTGTTGTCCGGCTCAAAGGATGATCCACTTTCCGAAGCCGAGCTTGCCCCTTTCTTGGCCGACCTTCGTTCCTTCCTCCACGTCGAGTCTGATTCTACATGGACTTCCCTTCTCTACATTCTTGACGGCCAACCTTTCCGTCTGAATCTGTGGCATTGCCTTTCTTTGCTTTGCTCCGACCCTGACTCCGATTACTTCCATGTTCTCCGTGAAGGCGTCCCTCTTGGTATCGGTACCGCTATTCCGGTGTGCCCTGTCATGCACCCTCCCGCTCCTCCCGATGCCCTGCGCCTTCCTCTGGAACACTGCGAATCCGCGTGGAAATCGGCTCTGGACCATGCCGATGTGGTGGACTCTTTGCTCCAAGCTGAACTCGATGCCGGTTGGATCCGTGAAATCCCCGGCGGCGACGCGGAGCTCCGTCGCACATATCAGTACACCGCGGTTGGCAAGCTTGGTTTGGTTCTGGCACCCGGCCGTCCGCCCCGTCTTGTGGTGGATTCCTCCGTGTCAACTTCGAACACTCACCTCCCTAACCGATCCGCCAATCCGTCCCTCATGGACGTTCGCCGCTCGGTCCCAGTCTCCGACTCTTTGGACCAGTTGGTTGCACTGGTGCTTGACGTGGCCAAAGCCCACCGTCGGATGCTCATCCGCCCTTCCGACCGAGGCCTTTTGTGCTTCCGTCACGCCGGCCGGCTTTTTCAAAGCATCATCTTGAACTTCGGTGCTCGCGTGTCCAGCTTTTTCTGGGCGCGCTGCGCGGGTCTACTTGTCCGCCTTCTCAAACGATTGCTCCGCGTCCGGCACTCTTCCTGGATTTATGTCGATGACATCCTGGCTCTTTTCAACCGACTTTCCGCCCCCCTTTGGGCCTCCGTCGTGGTCATCCTGCTCCTATGCCTTAAAGTTCCAATGAGCTGGCGCGAAGGCACTCTCTCCCCTACCGTGGTATGGATCGGCTGGCAGATGGACTTCGAAGGTTTCACGGTCCGTCTCGATCCATCCAAGCTCAGCCGATTGCTTGACCTCGCCAATCACGTTCTTGCCTCTCGCGATTGTCCAGTCCGGGACCTCGAGCGTCTCACAGGCAAGCCCTCCCTGGCTCCACTTTATGCGGACCAGCATGCTTTCACTCCGGTGCTTACTGCGGTCTCCCCTGATAAGTGGCAGGCTCTCTTCAGCGCTCCGTTGGCATTGCGGCCATTCCCCCGGGCTCTACATTGCTCCGTGTTGGCCAAACAGCACTTACATCCCGTCGCGACTTATGCCGCGTTGTCCCGGAGCAGAGACGCATTTGGGTGCAGTCCTCCTGCCCTTCGCGCTCCTTCTGCCGACTCTCCGA